TGATAAATATCCTTTCCTGGACTTGGGTTTTTCTCTTTCTTTGGGAAGCAGCAGACTTGTGGCAGTCGGCTCAGACAGTGGGAAATCCGATGGGGCAGGTTGGAGACCAGCCAGCTGAGCACCCTCATTAACAGGAACGTGTAATTAAAATCTAAGCAGATGTGTCTCGGGCAGGTGGTATTTCCCGAACGCGTTCGGTTTGCTGTGTGTACACCCTACACGTGGGGGATACACATAAATACCCTCATCTGCAACTGTGAAAAATACTTGTGCATATGCTGAGCAGTTGGGCTGTGCGCCCGCCCAGCGCTGCTGAAACCACCCCACCTCGGCTCTTAATGGACCAAAACGAGTTCTGAGATCCTGAACATATGTAAACATATTTAAAACTCAGCCTGGACAAAGTTTTTGGGTAGGGAAAAAGACATATGCCTGGAAGTCTATAAATATTATAACCCCATATGATGTGTTTCTTGCGTTCTTTTTTGATAATCTGCTCCCAGCCGCTGTTGGAAACGGCATATTAGGCAAGATAACACTTGGAGCTGATGCAGCTCAACAAAAAAATGTTGTTGCGACTCTCAAAATCTGAAAAAAACACTCAGCTGAAAAATCAGCCCATAAAAATTCCACTCTCAAAATTTGAAAACAACTACTCAGCTGAAAAATCAGCCCATAAAAATTCCAAAATTATATTTGTTCTTAGTTCTTACCTAAAATTCCAGTAATTGCTTTTCAACAGTTTCATTGAAGAAATGAAATTTGTTCATGGAAGAAAATGAAAAGTAAAAAATTACAGTCAAACAGTCAAAATTTGGGAATAAGTAAATCAGATAAAATTCTAACTGGAATTCAGATTATTTTCTTTTCAATAGGCCACAAAGCAGAGGCCATGTCCCATTCTCATTGTGGTACAGACATTGAATCTTAAAAAAAAAAAAAAAAAAAATTCCCATTCTCATTGTGGTACACACATTAAATTAAAAAAAAAAAAAAAAAAGCAAAGAAGTCACCCTTGAAATTCTTCACATTTGAGGGAAAATACTGTCCATGTAGATTTTTAAGATTAAATTTGTAGAACTCTACTGACACATTTGAAATTATTCATATTTGAGGGAAAATAGTGTCCATGTAGTTTTTTAAGATTAAATTTGTAGAACTCTACTGCAGTTTAGATTGGTTTTGGGGGTGAATTTTAGCAGTTTAATAGAACTGTCTGATAAGGAATTGTCTCATACAGGTAAATAATTTCATCTTTTCATGGTTAGAGTGACCTACTGTAATTTTTCAGTATCCTTTGAGCATGTTTCGCGGTGTCCCAGTGGATCATGAGCAATGAGCAGCCAGCTTATTTGCAATACCTCGTTCTGCTCTTTAGCAAGCTGTGGTGAAAAGAAGTCTTCTGTTACAGCAGAAGACTTTCCATTAAGCTGCTGCAGCTCCATGTATCCCATGGTTATCAATTTGAAAATGAAATTTCTGTATTTTGTGTATTTATCTTTTATTATCATCTGCTAAAGACTGGTCTTCTGAAGCTGCAGCGAGCCTGGCTTTATTACAGATGTATCTTTGTCTTACTTCAAATTATTCTCCTACCTTTAGAACTTTGAACCTTCAACAGTCATAGTTCTGCTGGTCTCCACTGGCCAGGACATCCAGCTGCTCAGGCTATAAAATAAGACTTAGACTTACACAGGAAATGTAAGAACGTGTCTGCATCAATATTTTCTTCATTTCATCAGTAAAACACGACTTGGACTTCTTGTTTACACAGGGAATGTAAGAACGTGTCTGCATCAATATTTTCTTCATTTCATCATCCTATCAAAGTGGGAAAACTTTTCCTTATTCAAGGGAAGTAGGGCATGTTTTCTCACTTTTCAGTGCAATTTTATCTGTATTTTTTTTTAGTTCAGGAACCAAGCAGATTTGAGATGGAGCAAAATACCCATGAAACAAATTTATGTCCTGTTCTGATGTACGTTAGTTCAATATCTGATCTATATTAGAAAATAAAGGCAAGTAACTTGTGGAAATCTCTTTGAGAGTCATCTGATAAAGGCAGTGTTACTCAGACTATTATTGTTATATTTGTTGGTGTTGATTCTCACTTGAGACGAAATCTTAAGCCTGTGGTGGCTCTACTTCAATAAATTATGCAGATTTGCAGCAACTGAGATGTGCTCATTAACTTTGTGGTTATTCCCATTGACTGAACCTGAAGGAGTAGCTGCATAAAGAATCTTTATAATACGAGTAAGGGAATAAAAAAATTTGGTGGCCGTTATTAAATGTGGGATTGTAAATGGAAATTGGCAATGGCGTCGCTATCGATTCCTACTGAGTGCGCAGCCGCTTCCAAAAAAAGAGAAACAGAAGCAGCCCCAGGGCCTGTTTCTTTCCTCCATTTAAATCTTTCTCCTGTGAATCTCACTGCCCTGGAAGTTTTAGGAAGCGAGTTAATTGGCAATTTGTAGAGGAGGACTATGAAGTGCACGTGACGCGTTGGGGTTTTTCCAGGAGAATCTGCCAAACTTTGCACTTTTCAGAATTGGATAGGGTTTGGAAACTACTATTTTTCCATGATATACTTATTATCCAACTTGTATGTAATAAAAATAATGAGTTCATTTACCTCTGACTTGAAACCCGTGCAGTCAGCAGAATTGTATCGAAGACAAGTGCAAGTCAGTGATGGTAAGAAATCTGCAAAAAAATACATCAAACCTTGGTGATGGTGTTCATAAAATTTATCCAAGTAGTGTAATACGTGCTGGTATATTGTAATATAGCGTGTGGTCATAATTTGCAATTTGATTCTAACACACTGTAAAGACATCACGGACTAAGTAGTGAGTGTGCTCATTTCTTTAACTTAATCAGATACGCTGTCACAAAAGTTTCAAAGACATGCTTATTTAATTATGAAGTGGAAAGTAACCCCTGTTACTAAGGGAGCAGTTTGCTTATTGTGTCGTCTTCTTTTAATGTTTAATTCCTTTTATTGAAACTGAATACTTCTTGTTGCAATGTGCCATAACCTTATTGGCCTGGGATAAGTTTCTTCAATTATTTATTCCATTAATGTTTCTATCACCTGAGGGAAATGCAGATATTGTGTTAATGATTGTGTTAATCAAACAACTTGCTGTATTTCTGCAGTGCCCAAGCTTATGTCATTATATTAGTAGGCACAGGAGATGAAATTGGAAACTTGTAATATACTACAGATTGGATTAACTCGTCTGGTTTGTGTAGACTGCTTGAAGACTTACTTTAGATAATTTAAAAAGATTAAATCTGCGAGACAGTTATTCCTCCTGACAGGATCTCTGAAGTCTTCAGCATAAGTCCAGTGTCCCTGTCAAGATTTTGAACTTTGCGTGCGAATAACGCAGTGCGGCCTGGGATGCAACATGTTCCTTGAAAAATGGAATTAATCTTTTGCACATTGGAATAATTATTTCACCCATATAATGTGGTGATGTGCATTAGATATTTGAATGCAGTGTACCACTTTTGAGCCGTTTCCAGGCTACGATAGGTGTTAGAACTTCGCTTTTTTTCCTTTTTAAAGGCTTTGAAGTTATCTAGGCAGTAAATATGCTTTTTTAAAGGTCTGTTGGGGTGGAGAAGGGAGTCTTTGCACTTGCTTTCTGTCATAATCTTCTCTTGGTGGAGTTCTCCCTGGGGTTAGTGCAGACCCTGATGGGACCAGTACCTGTGATCTCACAGTGGGTTCCAAAAGGCACGGAGGTGCCTACAAAGCCCTTAGCAGGATTGTGAAATACCCATCCCTTGCAATAATGGTTTTAAAATGACTACGTGTTATTAAACTATTGCTTTTTGATGTGTGCAAGACAGCCAGGGTCTATTCTAAGGTTGTGCTAAGAACCCTAAAGCATCTAAATATAATTGGCCTTTTTGTGAAGAGAAGGCTGTGAACAAGAGTTTCAGGCAGTGTCAGCATCTCTGTGCTTGGAAGTCAACACCTCTGTGATCCTCAGTCTTGTTTCTCAGTCCTGAGAGCTTCACAGACACCAAAAAAAACCCACTTAAGAAAATCCTTACAAAATTCAGCAAATATTCCATGACATTTTCATACTGCCTTCGGATAGAGCTTTTTATTTGGATAACGGAGCTTTTTATTTCTGCCCTGCTTTGCTTACGTAAATGCTTGCCTACCCAAGTTGTCCCTTCAGCGTGTCTGTCCTCTGAAGTTACCTTTAAAACACTCTCTCCATTTCGTGGCATTTGGGATTTGCTGGGAGGAGGGCAGTCCTTCAGCACCATTTTCATCCCGTGGCCCATCTGGTTGCAGGTGTTGACCAGTGGTACAAACCCAGTCACACAACCCCGGGCCAACCCATCTGAGGTCTCCGTTGGCCCATCTAGTAGATGCTGCCAAAATAATGTCCAGGCTCGTGTCGTGAGCTTGCCAAGCTGTTGGCTCACGTACTTCCTACTTGCAGGTAGGAAATCTGAGGAAAACACTCTGACAGCGAGTGCGATATTTGGGGAACAGTTCCATTCTGTTCAGCAAATTTGCTTTACTTGATGAATTTAAACCAAACGTATAACTACTACTAATTTTCAGCATCATGCCTTCTCTGAAGTCCCTGAAATGTTCCTTCGAATTGCATTCTTCATGTTCGACGGTTGGTTAAATTGATGCTGCATCAGAAACTTGATCAGCACCAGAGAGATTGATTTTCAGTCATTTACTGTGTCATTTCTGCAGGATTCTTTATGTTCTGATTTGATATGTTTCCTATAAGTATTTTTTTTTCCTTGTTTTATTTCCCATAAAGCAGTTGCTTTTGACTCATATTTGGTAAGACATTATTTGCAAAAAAAATGAAGGATGATTTTTTTTTTTTTTTTGCTGCATCTTTGATGATACATTATGATTAAAGTTATGGGTTGATGCATATTAATGTACAAGTGTCTTGGTGGGAAACAAACTAAAACAGTCTTTACTTGTGTGGTTTTTTTCCCAGGGATTTGTTACAGTCCCCTAGAGAAGATGATGTTGACATGGCAATGAAAATTCTGGTTCAGTGGACTTCCCAAGGCCTCCAAGATGTCCGGCTGGTAAATTACTCTGTTTTGCTTGACCTACCAGGCTCTTCTTCAAACACAGTAACTCTGAAAAACAGCGGCGAGTGCTTTTATCCCAGTGGACAACAGTGCACCAGAGAGACCAAAACCCTTCAGAGCCAAGACCTCCTGTACTCGTACGCGGCTTACTCTGCCAAAGGAGCTCTGGAGGTAATGTGCCCATTTGTCTCTGTCATTTGGGGTGGAATAGAGTTAGAAAACGTCAGCTTTTGTTGAACTTGGCTGGGGAAATACACATGGTGAAATGTCCAGCCTTAAAATAAACATATTTAGGTACAGTATGATGTGGCCAATCTCAATTCAAACTTAAAAATTAGTCAGACCTGAATGCTTCATATGATTTTTTATTTTTTTATTTTTTTTAAATATCTGAGTTTATACCCAAGCAGAAGATGCCAATTTATAAAAATAGGAAAGCTGTGTTTGGAGCTATGTTTTGTCCTTGTTGATGTATAAGCACTACCAGTTTGAAGGATGCCTGGAGGAAGGGAAAGATGAGTTTTTCTGCAGTGAGACCTGCAGGAGCACTGGGCTGATACCTGGAGTTATTATGGTCGTGGATCTCACATACTTTCTTCTGTGGCAACTCATTTGACACATCTGCTCCGTTTCCTCTTGAAAACCCCAATTTGTATTTTTATCTTACAGTAGCTTTTGTTAGGAAGTTTTGTCAGTGAAAAGATCCTGCCTGTTGGGATTTGTTACTTGCCAAGTGAAATAAGATCTTGGATTATCTTGTTTTATCCTCTTTAGTGTCTTCACTGGCTGCCATCCTGTATTTGCTTTCCAGATATATTGGGGGTACACTAAGGGGTCATCATTTCTGTTTACTTTGCTAGCTGAGGTAGTATAAATCTCAGTACATATTTCTGAAATATAAAAATTGCAGTTTCACTCCTAACTGTTTTCTTTCTCCTTTTTAAAATATTGTGTGTTACTTCCAATGATGCAGGGGTTTTTCCATCCTGGATTCTTTCATCATGCAAAAGTATAGGTTTGGTTTCGTCCCTTCAAACATGAGCAAACTATACAGCGAGAGGTTGCAGATGGCTTTGGGTTTGGAGGATGTCTCTTCCAAAATACCTTTATACTTTGTGAATATCTTATTATTTATAGCATATCAGTTAGTTATTTTCTGATGGTAAAATCAAGCTGCTGTGTGATTTCCTCTTGTGACAGTGTTTGCCCATAATGTGATCGATGACAGGTAATGTTATCTGTGGATATCTTGTAACGAGTCAAAATTGGGAAAGTTGCATGATGGTAACTAACCCATTTTATGGACTTTTAGTGCCATTTCATATTTTTGACTGTAGGAAATAGGAGGGCTGGTAGAAAGTCAGATCCTTACATTTCTCATCCTGAAGTCCATAAGCTTCAACTTCTCTTTCTGAAGAGAGTTGAAGCTTTTTAGCCCAGGGGATTTATTCCAAAGAGGAGAAGGAAGGGAATTCTTGTTTCCTTTGGGAGAGAGGCTTCTCTCCATCTCCTCTTGTTGTGTACCTTACATGCTTCTTTCTGTAGTGGGTCTCATGGTCGTTGTCTCCACACAGTCTCTCTTCTGGGACTCTTTCAACCCAGCAGCTTCAGGTTACAGTTGTTAGGAAAGGAGATGAACTCGACAAGGGTAGGTCCTGACCTGCATGATAGAGGCTTTAACTTTTCCATGGGGAAGTAAAAAGCGCTAATGAATGGGTTTGGCTTCTCACGTTTGTCACTTAAAAATTCAATATATAATATCATTTTCTCATTGTAACTTACTAACAGTACCTATAATGAGAGAAAAGTACAGTTGTGCCCCTTGAGATTTATTTCATGAAAATAAATGTGTTGCTAACAAATTCATCAGATTAAAGGAAATCAAATGTCCTGGGGAAAATCATTGATGTTATTACCAGCAACACTTGTACTTCCAGCTGTATTGTCTTTATTTGTGTGTCTGATTTTGTTTTCCCAGGGATTTGTTACAGTCCCCTAGAGAAGATGATGTAAACTAAAACAGTCTTTACTTGTGTGGTTTTTTTCCCAGGGATTTGTTACAGTCCCCTAGAGAAGATGATGTTGACATGGCAATGAAAATTCTGGTTCAGTGGACTTCCCAAGGCCTCCAAGATGTCCGGCTGGTAAATTACTCTGTTTTGCTTGACCTACCAGGCTCTTCTTCAAACACAGTAACTCTGAAAAACAGCGGCGAGTGCTTTTATCCCAGTGGACAACAGTGCACCAGAGAGACCAAAACCCTTCAGAGCCAAGACCTCCTGTACTCGTACGCGGCTTACTCTGCCAAAGGAGCTCTGGAGGTAATGTGCCCATTTGTCTCTGTCATTTGGGGTGGAATAGAGTTAGAAAACGTCAGCTTTTGTTGAACTTGGCTGGGGAAATACACATGGTGAAATGTCCAGCCTTAAAATAAACATATTTAGGTACAGTATGATGTGGCCAATCTCAATTCAAACTTAAAAATTAGTCAGACCTGAATGCTTCATATGATTTTTTATTTTTTTATTTTTTTTAAATATCTGAGTTTATACCCAAGCAGAAGATGCCAATTTATAAAAATAGGAAAGCTGTGTTTGGAGCTATGTTTTGTCCTTGTTGATGTATAAGCACTACCAGTTTGAAGGATGCCTGGAGGAAGGGAAAGATGAGTTTTTCTGCAGTGAGACCTGCAGGAGCACTGGGCTGATACCTGGAGTTATTATGGTCGTGGATCTCACATACTTTCTTCTGTGGCGACTCATTTGACACATCTGCTCCGTTTCCTCTTGAAAACCCCAATTTGTATTTTTATCTTACAGTAGCTTTTGTTAGGAAGTTTTGTCAGCGAAAAGATCCTGCCTGTTGGGATTTGTTACTTGCCAAGTGAAATAAGATCTTGGATTATCTTGTTTTATCCTCTTTAGTGTCTTCACTGGCTGCCATCCTGTATTTGCTTTCCAGATATATTGGGGGTACACTAAGGGGTCATCATTTCTGTTTACTTTGCTAGCTGAGGTAGTATAAATCTCAGTACATATTTCTGAAATATAAAAATTGCAGTTTCACTCCTAACTGTTTTCTTTCTCCTTTTTAAAATATTGTGTGTTACTTCCAATGATGCAGGGGTTTTTCCATCCTGGATTCTTTCATCATGCAAAAGTATAGGTTTGGTTTCGTCCCTTCAAACATGAGCAAACTATACAGCGAGAGGTTGCAGATGGCTTTGGGTTTGGAGGATGTCTCTTCCAAAATACCTTTATACTTTGTGAATATCTTATTATTTATAGCATATCAGTTAGTTATTTTCTGATGGTAAAATCAAGCTGCTGTGTGATTTCCTCTTGTGACAGTGTTTGCCCATAATGTGATCGATGACAGGTAATGTTATCTGTGGATATCTTGTAACGAGTCAAAATTGGGAAAGTTGCATGATGGTAACTAACCCATTTTATGGACTTTTAGTGCCATTTCATATTTTTGACTGTAGGAAATAGGAGGGCTGGTAGAAAGTCAGATCCTTACATTTCTCATCCTGAAGTCCATAAGCTTCAACTTCTCTTTCTGAAGAGAGTTGAAGCTTTTTAGCCCAGGGGATTTATTCCAAAGAGGAGAAGGAAGGGAATTCTTGTTTCCTTTGGGAGAGAGGCTTCTCTCCATCTCCTCTTGTTGTGTACCTTACATGCTTCTTTCTGTAGTGGGTCTCATGGTCGTTGTCTCCACACAGTCTCTCTTCTGGGACTCTTTCAACCCAGCAGCTTCAGGTTACAGTTGTTAGGAAAGGAGATGAACTCGACAAGGGTAGGTCCTGACCTGCATGATAGAGGCTTTAACTTTTCCATGGGGAAGTAAAAAGCGCTAATGAATGGGTTTGGCTTCTCACGTTTGTCACTTAAAAATTCAATATATAATATCATTTTCTCATTGTAACTTACTAACAGTACCTATAATGAGAGAAAAGTACAGTTGTGCCCCTTGAGATTTATTTCATGAAAATAAATGTGTTGCTAACAAATTCATCAGATTAAAGGAAATCAAATGTCCTGGGGAAAATCATTGATGTTATTACCAGCAACACTTGTACTTCCAGCTGTATTTCAGAGCAGTTTTATCTATGATTGAGTTCTGCAGCAATGAGAACCCCACACACTGTGTACTCATTACTAGGGGGTCTACCTTGACTTTGGCATAAATCAAAGCTTGTGCTTCAGTGCAAGAATGACTTTCTGTGCACAATTTTACAGGCAGATCTTTGAGATGCCCAGCACTCTCACGAAACTTCAGATGTTCTCTTTTATTCTTCAAAAAGTCTCCGCGAAGTGTCTCAGATCTAGAGTTTTGTCTAAAAGGGAAACTTCCTTTTTTATTTAGGTTATGGATAAATTGGTAGTGATCTAACCTCCCTGACTTTCAATCCTACACAGTAATCTCTACTGTTTAAGCTAATGGAAGTAGAAGAATTTTAAATGAGCAGTAGCGGGTGGTGGCTGTTGCTGTGTTCAGCCATCAGAGGGTGACTTGATTGCTTGCGGTGGAACGAAAACTCACATATTTTGAATATCTTACACGGAGTTGTGATTGCAAAATCATGAGGTTTTCCTGCGAAAAGGTATTCCTGTAACAGCTACTCATAATCTGAATAATTTTCTTTCAAATGTGACACAATCTTAGTAGAAAATTTCTATTGTGTGTCACCTAATCAGGTTGAATTGCTAATATTGCTTCAATACTGCTGCTGCATTGTATCTCATTTGTATATTTGATTTGCTGGAAGTTCAAGCAAATAAACCCATTAAGTTGCTGCAGTCTGGCTACCAGCGGAGCTACAGCTCTACTTTCACGGTGACAAGGTTATTTGCAGAAGAGCAAGGCTCATTTTCTTTGACCACCTGTCATGTCCATTCATCATATGGCCGTTGTGTATGAGCCATCCAATTTGTGCTTCCTGGTAACGGTCTGAACGGCATTTGTGGGTGAAAATGTGAGCGTTTGTGCTCTCAAATCTACTTCAAAAACCTACTTAGTGCCATTGTGATGGATGGTGCACTTTACTACTTCTCTATAATTCATCAGGCCCTGAAAAGGTGACACTGTTTACCCATCGCGGTGACAGGCAGGGCAGGCTCCAGTTCTGGAGAGAGCTCAGTTTTGGAACAGATATTGCAGCAGTTATG